TTCTAATGAAACTTCATTCAAAACTTCCTTGTTGAGACCACACAGGTTTTCTGTAACTCATTAATTCTGATCTCTAAATCTGTATTTCGAGTCAGAAAATCATCTCCAGCCCTGTTGCTCACAGTCTCACCAGGTACAAGCTGCACTATGAAGAGGAGATAGAGCAGCAAGTAACAGTACCCCAAAAAAAAAAGATCTGAAAAGTTAAGACAAAACAGAAGAGCAACAGTGAAGCAAGACCAAGTGACAAGTTCTCCTACTACAAGATTCCAGAGTCAAACAACATGTCTTTTTCATGCTTCAACACCCCACTACAAAAAAGTTAATAGTGTACTACTACTGATGCAAATTATCATGTGTCTCTACAGCTACAGTGGAGAATTCCCTGGACAGCTTTGAGTTGCAGGGGGGTTACAATTATTTAATTCTTAAAATTTTTTACAAACATTTCACAAGTCTTCAAAGCCACCTTTTGCAAATCTGCATTATGGCTCTTTGTCCCTTGTATCAAACAATTCTTTATTACTCAGAGCTTCAGTTTTTCATAGAGAATTACTATGTGAAGTTTCAGGAAATATAACCCAAGAGACAGAATAGCTTCTTCTCTATTTCTCAAGTCACAGTATTAATGAAGATTAGAAGATAACTGTGTTGTGAAATCACAACAATTGTGAAAACACTTCACTAACTGCACCTTCAAATTTGCATTTTATGACTAGGCTTTCAGGGTTCATAGTTCAAAACTAAAACAAAAACCTAGCATGTAACATAATAATCTGACATCCTTTAACTATTCATTATTATATATTGTTAAAGTATTTTAGTTTATTTGTAAGCTTTCCTTCCCCAGCATGCAGTTCTCAATCAATCACAACCTAGACGTCTTCCTTTCTTTCATTCAATCTCAGCTCATTGCAAAGAAGTGATGACTACAAAGCCTCTTCCAAATAATTCAGTTTTTAAATTATTTGCAACACTTTACCCACACTACATAAAGTGCACAGCAACCTACACTTCAGGTAAAACAAACAAAAATCATAATTTCATTTATTAATAGCTTGACTTGATCCTCAGTTCACTACAGATTCATTCTGATACACCAGGAGGGGAGATTTGGGGGGTGAGGGGGGAAAATGAGCCAGCCTTAAGTCACAGACTTTCCTTAGGACAGGGAGCTCTAGAGATGCCCAGAACACTTTCTGCAGCTACAAGCACAGAAATAATAATGTGTAGAATGGTTTGGTCCTTAAGACCATCCAGTTCCTATGCCCTGCCATGGACAGGGACACCTTCCACTTGACCAGGCTGCTCCAAGCCCCATCCAGCCTGGCCTAGAGGGACTCAGGACACACTGCATCTTGATCTGGCTGACCTAAAATGTTAAGGCTGACCTTAACATTTGTTTTAGTTCCAAAGTTCATTGCTCATGAACAGGGAAATTGACAGCCAAAACTGTTTCTTTACGCACACAATGAGAACACAGAAGAAAAGAAACACAATCTATGTTTTCAGAAATCCCAAAACCACAAGGTTCCTCTGTGAATACAGACTAGAAAGCCAGAGCTGTAATGAGAGGTCAAGGTATGTAACCAACCATCAAACAGAAGCAGTCTTTAATCACACCACTGTGGGCTTGATTTGAACTAGTGAGGCAAAAACTGCCCCCATCATTACCAGGCCACACCAACCATCTGCAGAATGCAAGATTACACTGCACAGCATCTCTCAAAATGTGTTCTCTCACACAAAACGTGCTCCTACCCTCAGTCAAACAGAAAGAAAACCTGAATTGATGGGAGTGAAGCACAAAGAAACAGGTGACCTTCCCAACTGCATGCAGCATTAAGTTTTTAGTGTGTTAGAAATAAAACTAGAAGCAGAAAGACAAAGTCAGGAAAGAAATATTCTGTATTATAAATTGGCACTGCATCTTACACATTGAAGGGGACAAAAATGAAGATGTCAGCAGCTTGTTACAATAGCATGCACTAACCTTGTTTCACTGCAGCAGCTCAAATAATTTCACCGTATTGACCCTTCCTCAAGGGAGAAAAGAACAGGAAAATCCCCAAAAATAAAGAGCAGAGTTTATAACATTAAGAATTTATCATGATGCTACAAATTTTCTGACCACTAAATATCTGGAGAAAATGTAGATTAAATCAACTCTTTCTTTGGTGGGACATTCTAGGCAGGTTACATGCACCATGATTCCTCTGACAAGTTATCTTTAAATATAAAACATATCAATAATCAACTTCACTTAGCTATACTTGATACTATTACAAACCCTTTAAGGATCTGACCTCAGTGTCCTGTAAGGCATACAATGGAAAAGCACAATTTCAAATACAAATGTGTCTTACCCTTATTATGAAAACAGACATTTACAAAGCTATTCCATAGAAATAAAAGCCTTAACAGTGACTGCCTCAGTTTTAACAGATTTCTTGTATTGTCCAACTACAAACTACCACCATGAATGGTGAACTCTGCAATTCTGTCAGTGCTCCTCCCCAGTACAAGGAAAGATCTAGTACAACAGGATCCAAAGCAGCCACTTACACACCTGGCAACTATCAAAAATGTTAAACAAAAAAGCAGTTCTCTCATTCACTTTCAAAACTGATCAATGGCTTAAAAACAAGCATGTGTGTGCTTCATAAGTACCAGCATATTAACAGATTTACTTCCACAAGGCATTTAAATAAAATAATAAGCTCTGTGTAACAAATTTTATGGTAAGAAATATTATATGGTAAAAATTATTTAAGCTAGTGAATAAAGTTGGCAAAAAACCCAAATAGATATGATCTGGCTGTAAAGAAATTTAAGACAGATATAAGAAAAAGGATTTAATCATTTTAGGACTTGGCATCTAGCACAGCCCTTCACAAAGCTGAAGTGCCACAAAATGGCAATATATACTGAATCTATATATTGTACTAAGTACAGCACAAGAAAATAAGCAGGCTTCAATCATGTAGCATTCTGCAGCTTTTAGTGGCCTTCTGAAGGTTGAGATTACCTCATTTTAGATAGATTTTTTTTGTTTGAATGACACTAGATGCTGCACACTTTATCCTAGAGACTCCCACCATTTTTAATACATCTAGCTATTCTAGGTGCCCACAGATTTTGTGAATAAGCACACATATGCAGAACTATGCAAATAAATGCAGCTTCATAAGATATGGTACTTACCTTATTGACTGAGATATTTAGGAAAGAGGAGCATAAAACTAAGGACTGTGCTTATAGTTCAAGTTTCTCTCAAACAAACCATAAACTAAGAAATTCAACATCAGCCAAATATAAAACATCTAATCTTCTCTAAACCATATTTTTACAGAGTGGCACTTTGTGTTGTGCCCTTGAAGCCCATCACAGCACAGGCTTCAGCATCCACTCTACCACAAGAATGTGGCATCCTGCACTGAAGAACACCATTACTGAGGTGCCACAAAAAGTACTGCCAAAATGTTGTCTTGCATTTGAATAAGGGTCTCCATTCTTCCTAATAACAGCTGAACCCTCCAGCCTGGAATCAGATCAAAATCTGACCAAAACCAAGGGTGTTTTGCTCTAGCATTGTCTGTGTGTGCTGTACCCAAACCAACATCAGCACAGCAGCACCCTGGAAGTCACACTGTACCCAGCAGCACCCTGGAAGTCACACTGTACACAGCAGCACCCTGGAAGTCACACTGTACACAGCAGCTGTGAGTCAGTTATTTGTTATGTGTAAGGCTGCACACAGGCAAAGAAAAGCATGAAAAGCTCTATAAATGAAGAGTCACATACAATGTATGACAAATCAGGATGTTTGAATAACTGCCTGGAAAATTGCCCTCTATGCAACGCAGCAAATATTTTAAACATCAGAAAGTAAACAAGTGTGAATAGCAATATAAAAGAAAATAGAAATAAATGTCAATAAAAACTAAAATTGTTCTATCTACACCAGCATGAACCCTATAGCTCAGAAACTCCTTCAAGCCTTTTTTTGGTGTAATTTTTCCTCTGCTGCATTTAGCAAGCATTCCTTCCTCATTTTTTTTTTTAATTTCCAGATGTCAAGAATAATCATTTTTCATTTAGTTTGACAAGAAATTTAACCAACAATTTTCTTTACTCATTTCCTCCCAGAAACCCAAATGGTCTTATTTTACTAACAAAGGATATAATTATCCTATGAACAAGATGCTTTTCCTTCAACATGTTCAGTACAGTTGTGTTGCAGATGAGCTACATTACAAATATAGTTCCTGTGCAAATAAAGTTTTATCCTTATTTCTACATGAGACAAGGACAAGTAACATTGCTGACAAAAGCTGTGTGAAAAAGTCCCACATCTGCAAAACTTATGAGACCTTCAATTACTCAAAGAGTTCACTAAAAAGAGGTTATCTTACCCATCAGATATGACCTAAAGCAAAATTTCCACGTCTTTCATCTGTCTTTTTCCACCATAACAGACATTAAGTCACAGTTTTCTGCAGCTCAGATCATTCCAGTACGTGCCAGAATTCCTCTGGGATCAAACCTCTATACTTGAATTTGTCTAATGTATTTTTTTTTTCCTATAAAATGAACTCCATTGATTTTATTTTGGATTTTTATCAGTTATTTTAATTTACTAGGCAGTCACAAATTTTCAAATTCTTTGCAAACCCAAGGCATTTTTCCCTCTGAGTTACATGTTTTATTTATACTGAATGAAACAAACATCATCTTGTTACAGAACTCAACTTCTTGAAAATGAGACCAGACTACAGAGAAGTCTTACAGAGCACACATTGATCGAAAATTTGCAAATTACAAATGGCATCTGCCAAATCTCAGTTTTATTTGGTTATTTTTACAGGACCAAAGACACAAAACTCAGTATGCATATATTTTCAAAGCATAACCACCTCCCAAAACCTACTACAAAAGTACAGTTCTTCTAAACTACAACCTAAGAGTTTCATTTTTCTTAAAGAAAGAAATCTACTTACTCATGACTGGAAGCTTCTTTGTATATAATCCAGGACAGGTCTTGAAGCAAGGTATTTTGTTGGAGAAGGTTTCTCAGAGGTATACATGTCCTGAAGGTTGGAAGAAAATAAAAAAACAAGTAATTTTTTCAACTTCAAATCACTAGAATATATGTTTACATATAAACTGTCTTTCCTAGTCTCTTTTAATCCTGTTTGTTTTTTAAAAAAAGGAAAACATATGTTTGTTATGTGGGGAGCTTTACTGCTTATGGATGTTTTTGTCTGTTTATTGACTCAAAATGTGCACCTTCCTCTAATAATCACATTATAAACTTGTGTATGTACTTTGAAAAAGAATTGCTATAAAATATGGTCATAATCTCTTGGGAACAGTTAAAAAGTTAAAAGTACAAGACTACAACACGGATATAGTAACTGAAAATTCCTAAGTAGTATTTTCCTTCAGCAACCTCAGCTGGCAAAACAATGTAAAAAAACCCACTTTTAGAGCACAAGAAATGCAATTAAGATGACTAAACAAGCACAGGTTGGCACTGACATCTAACATTTCCTTCTCAGAAACAAAACCTGGAAAAGTTACCATTTCTAGCAACTATAAACCTACAGTTCCATCAATTCCTCATCGATTTCAGAAAAAGATACCCAAGTAGGGCAGATATGGATTCACTAACAGTAAGCCTGGCCCTTCCTGAAGCCAAATATAGAGGACTTAATCTCCAACAATGACAGCACAGCAAGTACATTTTGAAAAATTTATTATATAATCTCCCTCCTGCTGCTAAAAGCAAGTTTATCCAAGTCTGATAGAACAGTTAAACAAAAGAAACTTCACTCACAGCTCAGATGAAAAGAAGAAATCCAGCATATCTACTAAGCAATACAGTTTTCTTTTAATACCTGCACAAATGGAGATTATCTGTAAATTAAGGAATATTATGTGATATATTTCTTCTTTTCACAACAAATTAGAACCTGCTGAACCTCACCTCCTGTGCTAATCCCGCCAGATATCTTGTGCTGACTCAGATTTCAAGTCTCAACTCTCCTGATCTCTTCATGCTCAAAAAAAACCCGAAGTAAAAGGCAAAAATACATAAGAAGAGATTTAACTTTTCCTAAATTATGACTTCACCTAATGTTTACATATATACAGCACATAGCAAGTTAGTACAGGAACTACCACAGGACATCTCAAGAAGGTTCCTCTATCAACTGCTAAAACAATTTAAAAAATAAAATAAACATCAAAGCCACACACACCATGAAAAAAAAGAAATCCAGCTGCCAAAAAGGAAGCCTTTGGTAAAGCTGCAGATTGAAAATTACAACCAACTTTTTTTCACTGAAAAAGTAACACAGGGAAGAGACTCAATAGGGAAAGAAAGCAGCTGAAAGAATCCACGCACAAACATTCTAAATAAGCAGAGATGAACACACAGCCATGAGATGCTGCATCAATGAAGAACACTTTGAACTGCGGGTCCTGTCAATTTTCCATGAACGTCTACTAAATTAAATATTTAAGCATACACAGTCCAAACAGAAATGAAGTGTCTGTTAAAACATCATAAGAACTGCAGCCTTGTGAACTTCCTCTTGATTACTGGTTTCAAAATTAGCAAATATAACTTCCATGACATTTAATTATTTACTGGGCTAATAACACCTGTTATGTTAAGAACATCAAATGGATCAGATATCCCTCAAACCCGGTCCAAAACCGGGTTTTGACCAGTTTCACACTACCTTGTGGCCCAAGTTCTTCTTGAATCTTATGCATAATCAACTGGAAGACCAGAGTCTCCCATTCAACTTGATTTTCCAAAGGCATTATCTCACCTTAATTTTGTAAATATGAACTAACAATACTTTGCCTCTGAGACATCGTGTTACATGACATTTTATTGTGTGTATGTACAGGAAAAGGCTGTTCATTAGGAAAAAACAAAACAGCAGCTCTGAAAACCACTTAAGGCTAATAATAGCTTAATTATGCAGCCTCATGGCTTATAAAAGTCTTGTCACGTAACACTGAGGAAATGAGATGGGGATGATACAGAAGCTCTATTCTACCTAAACGTGTGGAAAGTGAATGTTCCAGTGCACCAGAGCCACCCGACCTCCGACTCCCAGCCACAAAGTGCTGCTCCTGTATTGCCTTCAGTGTCCAAATATTTTGTTTAGCTATTGCTAGCATCTGTTTAGCACACAATGCAGACTTCTGGTAAATTCAGCTGCTGTTCTCTGAAATAACACTACATGTGTGTTTTATATCATTTCCCTTGTAAATAATTTTTATAAAAAGTTGTGTCTTTCATCTGTAATTTTGAGTACAACAACAGCAAGCAGTATTGAAAGTCAACACTACCAAATGGCAGTCTCTGTTTTCTATTGCACTGCAATAGCAACACCTTTACCTAGGAATGTGTGTTAGAAACTAAACTGTTTTCACTTTGCTTTCTCAAGCAACCTGATTTATCAATGCCTGCAGGGCTCTCTCCTGTACAGAAATACTACCAACTACTACAAAACAGAAATATAGTCTGTTCAGCGTATATTACTTGTTCAGTGTATTTCTGGAAGACACCATCTTGGAAAAACTTTTAATTCAAAACAGTACCTGAGACTCTTTCTGCTTTCCCTTGCAATCAACAAGGCTATAATAAAAATAAAAAAATAAACCACTAATCCACCCACACATACCCTTGATCTTTGTCTTTTTCTCAAGAGTTAACCATTGTATTCCACCTCATGTTTCCTCCAGTGACACGCATCTTCTCACTCACTCTTGGGAGTATCACCTCCCGTAGCTGTGAAACTATTGGCATTTTAGCTGAGATTTGACAGGAATATCTGCAACAAGCAAAGCTCTTTGCAACTTCAAATTCACACACACTCATATTACGTTCAATTACCTGTTTCCATAATGGTGCCAGGTCTCTTTTTTACCCAATACTCTGTTTCAGGATCATTAGCAGGAGCCAGATTGCAAGCAAATTACAGCATATTGTACTTCTATGCAGTATGACTCTAGCCAGAGAAGAGATTTACCTTTAATTTGGCAATTAAAGGTTCTGGTCTAACCTGTGTCACTGTACTATCTGTTTAACTAAGGAGTTAACATTAAGAATTTATACCCTCAGTTCCCAAGAACCAGGAATCACAGGAGCAGCATGCAACTGCCCTGCATAAACACACAAAGACAAAACAGTCTAAAAAGAGCCTGCCTTGCACAAATCAGTATTTTAGTGTCATTTACCATCGTCTTTAAACCAAACATTATGGCCCCTCACAGAAAACAGACAGATTTCAGCAGCACTATCTTTTAGATTTGCACAGATAGCCGGCTAGCAAAACATTAAGTCTGAAATTGGTGGTTTCTGTGCTGTATAATCAGAGGGCAGAGGAACAGCTGGTTAAAAGGCAGTTCTACTAAATACTTATTTTACACTGCATCTCAGCTGAATTAACTTAAAAGTTATAATCAGAAACAACAAAAGTTTAAAATGAGTAAAACTAAGTCACTTCAGAACACAGTTATTAAAAAAAACGTAACAAAAATGTCTAATATAGCACCAAGCCTCTGAGCACCCCAGCTCAGTAAAATGCCCAAGACAGCACAAATGCACAATTCAGACAAAGTGCAATTGCTACTGTTTCAGAAACTACACAGAATCACTGACTGGCCACAGATGAGGAAGCACATGGAAGTACAAATGAAACAAGCCCAACGACACACCCTCCTTTGTTCATAGCAGGAATATTTACACTACAAAGCGTTGAAGCAAATCGCCTTTAGTTTCAGGCACTGCTGATTGGCCGCTGTGTTTAATACACACACGCCTGGTAGAGCTGGAGTTTCGACTGTCACACAGCAGCTCTAGACTGCGGGGCACACAGCAAGCTAAAAAACCATAGAAAACAATTATTTAATATAATTATCCTAATTGAAAATATTCTCCACAAGATACATTTGTTGTGAACGGGGTAAATGTGGATTTGTTTTCACTCCACTGTAATTCAGTGAAAGCTGAAAAACAGCTTCCCTTAAAGCCAGTTTTCAGTGCAGCTGCCTCCTCCAAGCAGCAAAAGGCACAAAGAAAGTTATTCTGGAGCATATGCGGGTGAACAACTGGTACAGGAGTTTGGAGGCAGTGACTTTTAAGTCACCACTTGACTCTCGTTCAACTGGCAGCTCCGTGGCTTCGGTGGTTTTCTACAGGCAGCCATCCACGCCACAGAAAGAACCTGAAACACCTGATAATAACTGGCTCTGTGCTAGCAGTGCCAGCGGAGAATGAGGGCTGGGAGAGCGCCATGGACACCAGGGCTGAGCACAGCCTGAGGGACGCCCTCTCTCCCAGCCCACCGCTGCCAGCCTGGCACTTTCCACCACATACCTGAAGTATTACAAAAAGCACAGGAGGGAGCAGGTACAGAGAGAACAGCGGCGCCAGAAAGTCACATTAAAGGGTTCAGCCATGGAAATCCTCCCTGCTCCTGACGAGGGCGGCACTGTCGCCTCCCACATGGCCAGAAGAGGGGGGCCTCAAGGAGGCCGTAAGTGCCGGACCTACAGCCGTGACATCCTCAAGCACACACACAGGCCCCCCCAGCCCCGCTCTGACTGCAGCCACACCTCACTTCAACCTTACAAAGGGACCAGCAGGGGCATCTCCACAGGGCTTCCCCCGGGCTGCCCCAGCACTCCCGGCTCCGTCGCGATCCGCCGCCCCCTCCCCAGCAGAAAGAGCAGGGAGCCTCCAAAACCACACACACACACCCCTCCGCTGGGAATGGACCAGTCCGAACACCCCAGTACCCTGCGGGAGCCGGCTCCCGCCAGTTCCACCTCTCCGGCCTCAGAGGGGGTGCGCCCTCCCCCGGGGGAGGATGGTAGCGCCCGCCTCCCCTCAGCCGGGAGGAACCCGCCCGCTTCAATGGAGGGTCCGGCGCGGCACCTCCACACACACACACGCGCGCCCCCCCCCGCACCCCCGCAATGGACGGGTCCAGCCGGCCACCCCGGGGCCGCACAATGGCCGGAGCAAAGTCCCAGCTTGTCCCTACCTTTGCTCGGCTTCCTCCTCTTCCCGGGGGCCTCCCTCCGCCGCCTTCCCCAGCGGCGCGTCCGTGCTCGCTGCCCCGGGACCGGCAGCCTCCGACAAGGAAGTGCCCCGGTGTGACACCGCCGCTATGGAAACCCTGCCCGCCCCCGCCCCTCCCACAGGGCTGACCCGCCGCCGCCGCCATCTTGGGCTGGGGACGAGGTGCGTGCCCGGGGCGGCTGTGGGGAAAAAGTGGGAAAGACACAAAACGGGCCCGGTGCCCTCAGAAACTCATCGGTTGTGCTGCATGAGCGGCCGAGACTCTCAGTGTGGACACTTATTCTCCTGTGTGCAGTTCTGGGCTTGTTAGTGTGACACCCAAAACATCGGGATAAATCAAACTCCCAAACTCTTTATTTTTTAGTATTGGGGAGTAGGCATTACTTTATTCCCAGCTGGAATGCATAGCAGATAACTCCAGCCATATGCACTCCATTTCCAAAACTTTTCACTCACATGTTTTCAGCAAAAAAAATTATTGTTTATTGGTTCTAAATTGCATAATTCTCTTCATTAATTCCTATTTTATTAGTTATTGGTTTCTTGCTTCTAGTGCTAATTAGTCCACGTTTTTCAGCCTTTTTATCAAATTTTCCCTGATACAGTCTACAGTGCTTAGGCTGTAATGTCTTTGATAGTCTCTTCTGGTTACTCCAATAAGTCCTTAAAGCCATAAATTTTGGATCCTTGGTGTCCAGCTTTCCTCTGCTTCCTCATTGAAGCTTATCAGGGTTAGTCTAGCAAAACTGAAAGTTTCAGTGATCGAACAATACGTCTGTCAAAAGAAACTTAGCAGCATGTTAGCTAAAGTGGAAAATTACACTGCTTGAGACTAATACACTGCTTTTGATTAATTAAAATAATTTCTTTTAAAATAAATATGAAAGTTATATAATTTCCAATAATTTCTCCTTTTGGAAGTGATTTTAATTATTTTTTTAAGATAATTTCCACTTAAATCACTGAATATTTGGCAAGACTTATTGATACCAACAGCACAGCACTGGATGGCAGTGAAGCCAAGCAACTGGAATCCCTGTTCTGGGATGTGGGTATTGGCCAGCGGATCAGGAAAAGACCAGGAACTCCCAGCCTCTGAAGGCAACTCTTGCTAAGTGTGAGGGGGAAATACCTTTGCAAGGAAGACTTTTCAGTGTTCCAAGACAAGAGGAACACTTGGAAAGTACCTGGTGCCTGAGAGGATTAGCTGTGCTGGAAATAGTCTTTTCAGATAACAAACAATTCCCTAATAATCCAGACAGCGTCCAGTGTACACAAAACATGTAGTGCCAAGTCATTTGGAGTGTTGGCATGGAAGGAGGGAGAAGAAGAAGTGGGCATTCTGGTTTGGCAGACTCCAGACACGTGAAGAAACTATCTCCACCCCATTATGGGCCTACATCTCATCCATGAAAGACTGATGGAGGATTTCTGGAATTTAAGAGAGGAAATTAAAGAGGGCCACCACAAACTTTTAGAGGAGCTTAAAGAGGAAATTTTCCATGTCCTACCAGTAGAGACCAGAGTCTGTGCTATTAGGAGCAGGCATCCCCCTGCTCGAGAGAAGGGGGGACACTCCACCAGGTAACCTGTGGTTTTACCTGCATGGAGAAGACATGAGGAGCTGGGAGGGAAAACTCACCTCTGCCCTAGCAGCATGGGTGTGTGAGTTGAGAAGAGGAATGACTACCCCAGGAAGCTCTTAGAGGATAAATGCTGCTCCAGTTTCCCATGGACAGTAGAAGGGATGATGTTATGTCCAAACCTCCCCAGGCCAGGTGGGACAGGGGCACTCACATAACTGGTAGATCCTCAATGTGTAAGATCAGGAACCTGGAAAACAAGCAGGATTTAGAAATGGAGATGGATAGAACACAGCTTCCCATCATAGAATGGAAGTGGAGAACCTCTCCTGTTCCATGAGGACAGATGATGACTCCAAACTCTCTCGGTGCTGCCCAAGGATAGAGAGAGGCTTCCCAAATACTTCCCAGCAGCACAGTTCCCAGCCAGGCCTTTTCCCTCTGCTTTGACTTCCCTCCATGCCCTAGCCAAGGGAAGTAAAGGAAGAGAAAATGTTTAATTGTTCCTTCTTTCTGCAAGAGAAGTTATTTTTGGAGTCTTTTGGGACAATGCAGCAGGAGAACATCATGACTTTAACATGAAGCAGCTGGGCACAACTCAGGGCTACACCTGCAACCAATTGAGAGGAGGAGAGGCCCTGGTGCCTGTGGGGAACAGAGTTCTGAGGGGTACCAGGAGCTCTGAGGTGGCACCCCACATGCTGGATAAGGCACCCACTTAGTGTGACATGCCTCTGAGTAACAACTCCGGGCCCTGGAGCTGTACAAAAGGTATAGAATAAGGGACAAACATTACAACCTGGAGTAAATTTGCAATGTGAGTAATAAATTAATCTCATTTTCATTTATTAAACACAGATCAGCTAGAACTCAGCAAAATTTACAGCAGGTCCAGAGTGATTAAATCCTTTATCAATTTCTACAGGAAGACCACAAGCTTTTTTTTTTTTTTTAATAGATGAGAGTGGCCCTGCCCCTT